CCTCTTCCTGAGATTACTGGCTTGTCCGCCTCTCTGCTCCAATAAGTCCTCTTTTCAACCTTTGGTATTGTATTTCCATTAATCCTGGTTGTAGTTGTCTCTCTAGGCCAGTGATGGCGAACCTATGGCACGCGTGCCACAGGTGGCACGCCGAGCCCACACTGTGGGCACGCGGCCATAGGTCGCCGGAGGGAGGGTGCGCTCCGCCGGCGCATCCATAAGGCGGCACAAGTGGTCACCTTAGGGTGCACCGGCCCGGCGGGCGCAAAACCGGAGTGACCGGCAGGAGGTGAGCGCAAAGCGCTCCCTCCTGCCAGGCACTCTGTCTAGCGTGGCCGAGCGCGCCGCGGTACAGGAACTTATGTTTCCTGTACCCGGGCGGACGGAAATTAAGTGCTCACAGAGAGATCAATTCCTGTCTGCCGGGTACAGGAAACTGAGCTCTGCGCTCGGCCACACTACAAGGTAGGAGACTGAGGGAGAGATGAGGGGCGGGAAATTGAGGGAGGTATGGGGGGGGAAACTGAGGGAGAAATGGGAGGGGGGATAAAACTGAGGGAGAGATGGGAGGGGAAACTGAGGGAGGTATGGGGGGATAAAACTGAGGGAGAAATGGGAGGGAAAACTGAGGGAGAAATGGTAGGGGGGATAAAACTGAGGGAGAAATGGGAGGGGGGAAACTGAGGGAGAAATGGGAGGGGGGAAACTGAGGGAGAGATGGGAGGGGGAAACTGAGGGAGAGATGGGGAAAGAAAACAGTTGGGAGGGAGGGAGGGCGGACGACATACACACAGCACCCCTGCCCTACACATATCACCCCACACCCCACCCCACACAAACACACACACATCAACCCACACAAACACACACACATCACCCCACACAAACACACACATCACCCCCCACACACACACACCCCACCCACACACACCCCACCCACACACACCACCCCCCACACACACACACACCACCACCCCCGCACACACCCCACATCCATATCACCCCACACACACAACCCCACATCCACATCACCCCACACACACAACCCCACATCCACATCACCCCACACACACACACACACACACATCACCCTACACACAAACACATCACCCCACACACAAACACATCACCCCACACACAAACACATACACTGTAGCCCTCAATGCAGTGTGTGTACACTCAGCAGTCTGTGTGTGTGTACGCTCAGCAGTCTGTCTGTGTACACTCAGCAGTCTGTCTGTGTACTCAGCAGTCTGTGTGTGTACTCAGCAGTCTGTGTGTGTGTGTGTGTGTGTACTCAGCAGTCTGTGTGTACTCAGCAGTCTGTGTGTGTGTGTGTGTATTTAGCATTCTGTGTGTGTGTACTCAGCCGTCTGTGTGTGTGTATTTAGCAGTCTGTGTGTGTGTGTACTTAGCAGTCTGTGCGTGTGTGTACTCAGCAGCCTGTGTGTGTGTATTTAGCAGTCTGTGTGTGTGTGCGTGTGTACTCAGCAGTCTGTGTGTGTATTTAGCAGTCTGTGTGTGTGTGTATTTAGCAGTCTGTGTGTACTCAGCAGTCTGTGTGCGTATTCAGCAGTCTACTAAATACAGACAGACTGCTAAATACACACACACACAGACAGACTGCCGAGCACACACACAAACTGCTTAATACACAGACATGTTAATTAATTTGGACAACTGTAGGAGTTGTTTTTTCTAAACTTAAACCTCAGTATTCAGGTTTAATTGCTGTTTTGGCACTTTGAGGGAAAAAAAATTGGCATGTATTACGGTTTGGGCACTCAGGCTCAAAAAGGTTCGCCATCACTGCTCTAGGCGATGAGGGTCATCCCGTCGCTTGCCACTAGTTGTTACGGTACCCTCAGCATCAGATGCACAAACCGTCGTTTAGTAAATCCTCCCCTCTCGCAGTAACATAGGCTGTATGCGTATCAAGTACAATCATACGAACCGCAAGCAGGGGAACGCTGTAAACTCACGAACGGGATCCGTACGGGCACTTCACTTCACGAGCTCCAAACTCCCGAATCGCCAGTAGTAGCCGAACGCATAAATCTCCCAAGCGGCTAATAATCCCATCCAGCAGTCTCTAGTCGTCAGTAATAACGAGACCAAGCTCGCATTGAGGATAAAACATGAACTGGCTTTACTGTGGGCTACCTGCCCGTATTTATGCAGGTCTCCCACTTGGTGGACACTCCCCTAGGGGACCAAATGGGAGACTGTAACAATAGACAGACATATGGCAGGTTAGGACCCACAGACACAGAATATTCCCAGCATGCATTAGTATTTCCTCCCCTCTGCCCTGGAGATAATTGAGAAGTAATTCAATTATCTCCAGGACAGAGGCAAATCGCCATTTTAAATTCAACACAGAAAAACATATAAAAATACATAACTTTACATTTGTCGAATGTTACACATTCGTATCACGTATCCCCAGATAGCTTGGATCTGAGTGCATATTATTGGTGAATAGCGCTCAGATCCCATACGCATAGTTCAATCGCCATGGAGTCAAAGTCTATTACAGTCTTTCGGTATGCGATTGACTCCATGGGAAGGCTATCTGGGGTAAGTCCATTCGTGCTTATAAAACTCTCGAACGGCCGGT